ATCCATGAGACACAAGAATTCTAAGGCGGAGTAGGGATTGTCCTGAGAGACAGGAGCAGATTTTGCAGTGACCGTTAACTGGCACTGGTTATTGATTTCAGGAAAAATAAAACTGACATCCAGCCACTCAACATCACCGGGGCATTTGTGGAGAGGGTCCCGGTGTTCAGGTTCCTGGGTATGGAGTTGGAGGATGACCTGACTTGGAGTGCTAACACCAAGGAGCTGCTGAAGAAGGCGCAGCAGAGACTGTATTTTCTGAGAATCAGAGTTTTCCCCAAAATCTGCTCCTTGCCTTTTACACTGTTCCATGGAGAGCGTACTTACATTATGGACTCTGCGTGTGGTACAGCAGCTGCACTTCCTCAGACATGAAAGCTCTCCACAGGGTCATCAGGGCAGCAGGGAAAACAATTGGCTGCCGTCTCCCCACCATGGAACAAATCTACACCTCCCGATGCCGGAAAAAAGCCATGGACATTTTACATGATTCATCACATCCCGGTCATTGTCTCTTTCAGCTTTTGCCATCAGGCAAGAGATACAGAGCCATGAAAACCAGGACAAATTGCCTGAAAAGCAGTTTTTATCCCAAAGCAATCATGGCTTTAAATGCAAAACAGAATGGTTAATTTTTTTATATTTCATCAGTGCAGTCTGTATATCCAGTGCAATCTGTATAGTCAATGCAGTATTCAGTGCAATTTGTAATTCAGTGCAATATTCCGTGCAATTTGTATATTTTAAATATATTTTATTTCTCGTTTTATGCCTCACATTGAGTCGAATTGCATTTTCAATTTCATTGTTCAAGTGACAATGACAATAAAGATTATCATTATCTTTAACGAACTCATCAAGTGACAATCAGATCAAGTGACACAGTGCGTGTACAGCAAGTTACGGTTCCTTATTTATCTTCAGTTATTTTCTTCACTTCCCTTCTTAGCAATTTCTCCTTTTCATCACAACACAGATTTCACTCCTTTGACTCACATCCTTACTTTGCATGTTTTCCCGTAACACGCAGATTCCTGTAAAATAACAGCCTAAGCCTCTACCTAACATTCAAATCATAGATACACTGTAGAAATTCCATTACCAAGGATTTTATTAGAACTGTGTGTTTCGCATGGAAGATGGATGGTGGATGACATTTGTGCAAGGCGCCAAAGGTGGTGCAACATTAGGAGGCAAACAAGAGTGACTCACATACAGAGTGACTGACATAAAAGTAGCCTGTATAGGCATTATAATAAATTAATGTATGGGGCTACTTCTGTGTGCCCCCAGTAGCCAGTATTGGAAAGAATGTTATTAGAAGAGACTAGCATTTATTTTTGTAAAAATATTACAGCAGCTAATATGCCTGATCTAAGCGATAATGAACGTGGTGTGATTCAAGGTGCTTGACATAGTGATAACAACATGTCTGAAACAATCACTTTTTGGGGGTGTTTTCATGCACTGCAGTGGCTGGTGGTGGATTTCTGATGTAACAGGAAGCCCCTGCACCCAGTCACCCCCAGAGGGAGGAAGAGGAGGTGGTTCAGCCGTACAAGTCCCTGGGGGTTCCACAAGGAACAACAGACTGGACTCTGTGGGCAGCACAGCAGTGCTGTACAGGACAGGCCAGAGCAGACTCTGCTTTCTGAGGAGACTCAGGTCTTTTAACATGTGCATCAAGTTGCTGTGTATGTGGAACACACTGAAGCTAGTAGCAGATGAGAGGGTGTTATTGTTAATAATATGAACAATTCTTACCATCCACATCAGAGGGCCCTATCCTGGAGCACATTTAGTTGACTCTTTCCACTGCAATGTGTTAAAAAACACTATTGGGCATCGTCTCTACCTTTGCACTTTGCCAGTTTTGTTCTATATGTATGTTCCTCTGTGCACTATGCTCTTGCTGCTGCGTTAACAGAATTTCCCTCTGGGATTAGTTAAGTCAATGTCAATCATATTATTAATCTTAGCATTTACAGAGACTGCTAGTTCTGAGACTGCCGATAAGACACCTTAATAATTAAAGAGGTCAATGGAGAATTGCCAAACTCGTAAACAGACTTTCTTTGTGAACTAAATGATCCGTCACTCCTTTTCGTTTGGTGATTCATCATATGGAAAAGGATACATATTAAATACAATATGACTCTTGTGTTTTACTTATATAAGCTATTTATATGGTACTCAAAATAAATATACAATGCATATTTACTTAATGTGTCATTATGCCCTTTATTCATATAAAACACATGTGAAATGTATTGTCAAACATTTAAGTCCTACATTCATGTACAGTCCATACTAAATGAATGTATCATTAGTTATATATGCCCTTTATTCATATAAAATATTTATATTGTATCAAACATATGTTATACATTGATGTTAAAGACATGTTACATTAATGTACTGTCAGACTTGTAAGTTCTATATGCACGCACAATGCATATTAAATCAATGTTTTGTCAGTATAAGCTTTTATGCATAACTCTTTGAATAATCTTTAACAGTGGTTCCACAGAACTAGAATGAATATTTTAAAAAAGCAACAGTTGACGCATTCACTTTATGTTTAGAGAACATAACATTGTTGAGTTAATCTCATTGAATTTTCTCATGTCTATCTAAACCAACTGAATCTGGAGAGATCATACATCTTTAATTAGAATATTATAAATTCAATATAACAACAGCCAAGTCCCTCTTAGCTCTTCAACTGAAATGTCAGTCAGCCTGTAAATTTATACCTCAGGTGTACGACTCCTCCCGCTCCCTGACTACGGACCCAGCCGAAATTAACTCTGCCTTTGCTTCCTTTCACTCTAGTCTCTAAAAATCGGAACCCCTGTAAGTAAGACTACAATGGATATATTTTTAGATGGTTTAAATATCCCTACTTTTGACTCTAGCAAGAAGGAGACCTTAGACAGGCCTATATAGGTGGAAGAGAAAACCACTTGTCTTACATTAATGTGAAATAACAAAGCGCTGTGTCCAGATTGGTTTCCAGCTGACTTTTACATAGAATTTTCTCACCTTCTTGCTCCCTTATTATTGGACATGTTCAACGATTCCTTCAAACAAGGCTGTATACTGGTGTAATGATGTATAATTATGTATTATGTATAACTGGTGTATGATGGAGGACAATTCTTCTCGTCCATCACGTCTGGCTGTGCTGGTTTGTATCCTCCTGACTTCTAACCCTGAATGTATTATAAACACTGCTGTGCTGTCTTCTTTAAATTTGGAAACAATTTAGGCAACATTTCAAACTCTCCGCCCCCATCCCAAGCAGCCCTATCTGTTTTAATCACTTGTTTCTCCCCTCTAATCTTGGTTCAGTTTTTGCATTATGGAGAGGGGGGTGGCTTGGCCCGCTTTTCTAATTTATATTTAGAGGCTTTATTCACCTCTTTTAATGATCCCCGCTTGAAGTATAGTTTACCGTAATCTCATATGTTTGGGTATTTTCAAGCTCGTGATTTTCCCCTGACACATTTAACATCTTTCCCTCAGCCTCTGCCAGAACCACTTGCCACCAAGAGACTTTCTCTCCCCAAGGGCTCATGGTAGGATTTCAATCTTATATGAGCTCATACTGTCCTTAGAGGTGGTCTCTCTCTGGCCGGGATTAGGAGTGATTGGGAAATGGAGCTTCAGCTTGATGTGGCAGACAGGGGTGGGAAGAGGCGTTACAGATTCATTCCACACCTTCATGTGCCCGCCTTAGTTTAACACTTTAAGGTCCTACACAGGACTCATTTCATGAACGGTTTCCAGATACGAGTGACTCCTGTGATAGATGTGGCTTGTCACAGCAAATCATACTCATATGTCTTATTCTTGTCCAAAATTATCTGAGTTTCCTTTTTTTCCCCCAAATGTTAGGCGAGGCCCTTAATATCGCATTAGAACCCTGCTCGTTGATAGCTATTTTTGGGACACCTCATATGCCCACTTAATCTTACCAAAAAAGGTACTGACGTGTTGCTTTTGCCTCCCTTATAGCCTGTAGATGTATCATGTTACAGTGGAAGAGCCCAAATCCACCCTCTGCTACATCCTGATTTAATGTCTTTCTTTTCAATAGAAAAAGTGAAATACTCCCTAAGAGGCTTGTTGGCCAATTTTTACAAAATGTGGCAGCCTATTATTGTATATGTGAATACCCTTGCCTCTCTGGACCCGAACTGATTCCAGGAATACACTTTTGTGCATACATGTTGTTTTATTTTCCTCCCTACTTCATCTTGACTACTCAGTTTTTGTTGTTGTTGTATATTGGGGGGTGGACTTGGTTTAAACAGCCCTTGGGAGAGAAAGGGGATATGGGGGGAAAATTAAAAACAGAAAACGTGTGAAACATAGTATATTGTAGTGTATTTCGTATTCGTATAACACCGTTTCCCAATAGAAAAAGAAACAGACAATAAACACGTATTTTCTATTCAGCCACATGTTATCACATATGGTTAAATGTACAGTTAATGTAAACGTTTCATATTTTTCCTATATATTTTTCCCTTGTGCGTATTTTGGTATGAAAGTGGCCATAACCAAATAAGAAAAAAATACTGAGTTGTAGTGAACATAAAAAAACGTAATTTGATGTCATATACAATTGAAATAAGAAAAAATACTTCATAGTCTTATATGAACCATGCTGTTTTTTCATATGGGAAGTGCGAAAATATTAGCTCAATACAACAGTTAGATACTTAAACAGGGTTGCCAACCCTAACGCATCTGGTGTGACACTGTATCACTCTCGCGCATGAAATTTTACGGCAAATCTATATTATTCCATTATAAACCTAAAATTAGCCACATCAAAAGCGTCGCGGTAGTTCGCAAACCTTACAGAATACTTACAATGTAGTAAAACAGCTACATACATGAAAATGCGTGTGAATGTATGTCCAGACTTGTCTGAAACTGAAAATCTCCAGCCAACTGACCAAAGTTGGCAACCCTGCATAAAGGGGTCCTCTCGAGCAGATTACCGTGTTTCTTTGTGTCTTAAACTGCAACTAGCTGCAAACATAAAACCGCAAGCATTATCTACTACTAACATTTTAATTATGACCATTTCCACGACGTTTATCGTAGACAAGCATGCATGCTAACATCCCTCTCCACATGGTTGATGGTCCTACAGTATTAGAACTTCGTACTGCAAATGCCGAAATATTAAATCACACAATTAGAATATTTTTTCCGAACGCATTCGAGGGTTTCCATTGGTGCTTTATTGGGTTTCCTTTCATGGCAGCCGCATTAAAATAATATTTAAATGTTTGAAGACTGTTTTTTTAATTGTTAATGTAAACTTGAAATTTTAAGATAATGAAAATGCATTTTTCCGGCTTAGTAGGAACTCATCATCTAAGCCCTTGTTTCAGGAGGACGAAAATAAGCAGCGAACAGCAGGGAAACAGGAAATACTGAGCCATGGCGTTCAATTTTGGCGGTGGCACTACTAATACTCCAAGTATGTATTTTTCTCGTTACTATTAACTTTCTTAATGTTGCATATTGAAAATAAAGCAGAACGATTTTTTCTTGTTGTGTGACAAGAAAAATCTAACTTGGTTAAAATAAATTTTGGAATGAGTTTGTATTCGGCCCGAACCGTCGTTTAAAGTATCCTGTGAATTGCCTGTCAGTTTCGTATATAATTTAGTTTATAAATTAGCTTTAAAAGCAGTTAACGTTAACACGCTACTGCTTTTCAGATTCACTATTGGTATTCCTTTTTTTGTCTAGATAAATGGCTATTCTTGCTCATCAATATATTATTCCATTGTCAGTCTCATAACCATCATTGTCTTCACAAAAAAAAATCGCAATATTGTGACTTTTTTTGTCGTGTTATTGAGCTGGGGAAGAGCCATATGATTTATTCTCAGTTGTTAGATTGGTTGCCACAGGAAACAACCCATTTCACACATCCTGGTCCATTACTGTTGGCACTAAAATTTCTTTTTATTGCTCAAGGCTCTTCTGGATTTTCATTTTCTTCATTTGCCCCCAAAACAACAGCCTCAACTGGTTTTGGTTTTGGCAGCACCACCACTGCCGCCTCATCTGGATTTGGTAGTAAGTTCATACACAAGTTTGGAGACCTTCTTTCTCATTACAGTATTATTGTACCCTGATTGATACTGAATCAGTGATTTTTTTTTCCCTTTATCATATTTATTTAGTACTACATGACATTGTTTTTCCATGATTGGTTATGTCATTGGATAAATGCTCAATCCAGCAAAAAAAGGTTGTATTGAAGGGTCAGTTGTATGGTGAATATTTAACTCCCTTATAAACAAGTGATTAATTTTGTTGTAATTGTTCATTGTTGAATTATCTAGTTTGCATTAAATTTTCATAACACTCATAGCAAGCAGGATGGTGTATAACAGGTAGGGTTGCAATGGCATCAGATTTTCATGCAAAATACATAAAACTTCATAATTCTGTTGAGAGTGAACTGGAGTGAATCGAAGTATACCAAAGAACCATGTTGTTGGATAGCAGCAATTTCAACTGAAGAAAATGTAAACTAATATTTTAGATATGGGATATTTAGGTAATAGTATTGATTGAAAAACTAGGAATAGACTAAAAGAGTGAGTTCTGAAATCAAGCAAAGAAAACAGATATTTTTCAGCCAGCGGAGTCATTAACACCAGTTCACACTAAAAAGTAAAGTGATCACTGTGGTTTAATGTTGCAGTAGACAATATAGTTTATTGCTGTGGTATTCCGTGAAATCTGTACACCGTTGCAACCCTAAGAACAGGTGCTGGTTTTTAAGTACTATACTTTAAAATAATTTTGAGAAAAAATCTGTGCAGATTTTCCAACTTTTCTGATGCTCCCTTTATATATATTTAGTTTTACTTTCAAATAAAATGGGAATATCACCCAAAATATATAAATTAATGGGTTGGTTTATGATATCAGATTTTAGGGATTGAGTTATCAATATGGGAAATCTGCTCAGCTGTTAAGATGAATGCCTTTCCAGAAGAAGTAGTTTCATGTTTGGTTTCATTTATGTTCTACAGTTGCGGAGTTGAGAAAGGTTGTCTCTGTAGTGTCAGAATTTTCCCATGAATGCCTCATAAATGGTCAATAAAAAGTACTTATTTAACAAGCAGCATGCATATGTTTTATAGCATGCTGCATATTTTTAAAAATCATGCAGTATAGTTACCTGCTACTCACAAAAGAATTCTTTTCAAGTGTAATATGGCCTGATCAAAACTTGTTTCAGGTGAAGAACTGTGAATTCCCTTTGTGTTAAGCAGAAATGTTAAAATACTCTAATATTGCTGGTTTGGCATGCTGTACCTACCTCTCACTTTATATCATGCTATACTATCAAGTCAGAAGGAATTTAACCAGTTGTTTATGATGGCAGACCTGGTTTATGTGACAACACCATGTGTCGTTTGTCCTTTTGACCCAGTGTCAGACAGTCCATGTTTTTGCTCCCTCCCAGTTCCCTAGAGAGCAAAAACATGTACTGTCTGACAGGGAGCTGGGAGGGAGCAAGAACGTAAACTGTCTTTGGGTTCCCAAGGACTGAGTTGGGAAACAGTGTTGTAAGCAGTAAAATTGTTGTTACAGGTCTTACAGCCACTGGGTTTGGGGCCACCACTACAACAGCGCCCACTACTGGTTTTGGATTTGGATCTACAACTACAGGTACAAAGTGATGTTTTGCACCTTTAATATCCCATTACATCAGATCTCTCACAGTTCTAGCTGATTTCTGGTGTTCCAGGAGTATTTAAAATGACATGACTTTATTGTTTGGCTTTTTAAAATAATTAGCATTTGAAATGACAGGCCTTAATTCTGCTTAAAGATGGCTACTATATTCTGAATAAGAGCATTTTTTATATCTCTGGAAAATTAGTAATTAACAGCACTTTTCAAACGTGTCGATATTATGAAAATGATTGGGTTCCATTAAATGACGGCCTTTATGATTATGCATAAATTCATTTATAGCTGAGCCCAAACTACGCACTGCTGTTTTTGTTCTTTAGCCTGCTGAGGTAGTTCTGCAGTGTAAAACTTATTAGCATTAGACAGACATCCGCAAACCAACAGGCATCATCAGATGCATCCTTTGTTATTGTGGCATGATTCCTGTTAATGGTTTAACTGCCTAGAAAGTATATGTGCTTTGTAGTACTACTTTGGAGAATGTGTTCTGTATGGCTGGCAATATTTTCACCCTGGTAAATATAAGCTGCTGTTGTGAAAGATGTATTTTGTTTTGGAACGTTGAGTATTTATGACTAGGACTGCCACTAACGACTATTTTTCTAGGATTAATTTGTCGACTTTTACCAATTGGTCGCTTAATCTAAATGATTAATTTTCCTCCAGAAAAATCAAATAGACCATTTAATTTAATTTGATTTTGACAGCAACAAACTGTATGTTATTGCGGGGCTTTAGATAATGGATGCTGGCTTTTCAGCACTATACAGACATTATTTTCTCCCACAATTCAATAAGCAAATTAGTATAATGCCTACACAAGGTACTAAGGTGTTGGTGGTGTGGTGCTGCTGATTGCTGAATAAAATTTGACACTTTTTGTTTCTACTTATTCAATCATTGCTAATGACTTTTGAAGTATTTATTTTTATAAAATCTCAGAAGCCTGGACTTTTTAAGTGTGTTTCTGGTCCATAACATGAAGCAGTGTTCCTCAAGCACAAACCAGTCCCTGGGGACAACTGACATGAAGGTTTTGTCCTCAGTGTGTTAATGATGACTTAAAATAGTAAGCCTAGTTAAAGATAGTTTTATTTATTCAGAATAATGTTGGTTTGAGTACTCTCTTAAATCGTTTCTAGTACTAATAACCAACTAATAGTAGACTCATAAATAACACACACCATATTTATGGAGTACAAGTTTAAATCATAATAAGATATCCATAATATACACAGACCAACTGCTGATGTGAGAAGACCAAAAATGAGGACCCATGATTACCAAAAATAGCTCATTTTAAACTGACATCATCACTGTCCTCCATTATAATGGTTAAAATGACAGCTTCAGTCTCTCTGTAGAGTGTCGTGTATCTACAGTTTTTCTGTTTGCTAGATTCCTCTCCTTTTGCCGTATTGCATTCTCTCCTAACCCTCTGTGCCTCTTGCTTGCTCCCTGTCCCCTCTCTGCAGGATTTGGGGGGCTGGGAGCTGCCAGCACCACCACCGGTGGGTTTAGTTTTGGGGATTTCGGATTAAATGCGAATGCGGCCGCTATCAGCTTTAATGTTGGGAGTTTTGGTGCACCCACCACTACAGCTACCGTTTTCAATTTTGGTAGTAGCCTGGTTAGTTCAGGTAGATGCTTTTAAAAATCAATCAGTTAAGTCTGCTTTTCAAGCACATTTTCCACCATCCATGTTTTTATTTTTGGCAACAAAGACACATTTCCCACTATTTCTTTTCATTTTGTGAGGTTTGTCATCGTCTTCTTGGTTGATCATTTGAAATTGCTTTGTGGCGTGAGTTCAAGTTTGGTAATGTTTGGTTTTGTCCATTTTAGTATATTTCACATATCCAGTGTTTACATTAGATATCTATTTGCATGATGCCTGTTGATTTGAAATCTATGTAAATTATGATCAGTACTGTAGGAACAGTCTGATTCACCTGTCTGCTTTTCTGAGATTCTAATAATCCTGTACATGTCGCATCTTTGAGTTAATCATGTAAGTGTCGTATGCGAACTGCTAATCTTCAGCTTTTCCGAGTTGTCTGTGTCTTATTTTTATGGTATCGTGGGCATCTCATAGGTGCTTTTGGTGGGTTTGGCGCGACCACAACAACTGCTCCTGGATCATCATTCAGTTTCTCTGCTCCTACAAACACAGGTGAGAACCCGGATCTCCTGTCTGACGGAATTCATAGGTCACGCCAAGGCATTTATGATAGAATATGCTGACGTTTAAAATCAATCTTTCGTTTGTTTTTCCTTGGTGGTATGACCATGATGACATAATCATGAGTGGCCAGACTTATGTCGTGGCTTGCTTGTCGTATTGCCAGTACGTTAATAAGCAGTTTTATAATTATTGACCCTTTGTAATACTGTGTGGGGCTCATTGGCCATTTCCTCATATAGAATACATCTTATAATTTACCTGCATTTGATATTTTAAGAATTTTTGGGACTTGTTTTAAATGGGAAAAGACATACTATAAAAATAACCAGCCTGAATGAATGATGATAACTGGCGTTTAGTTTCATCAATAAAACTCACATTACATGTCCTAATTATGCAGGGTATTTGGCAGTAATTTAATTGTTGTGATAATAATTAACTTCTGATGCTGTATGAAACCAAATTGGGTTTGTTTTTTATTTATGGAAAATTAGCTTAAATTATTTTATTTGTGTGTTCTGTTTGCATTTTGCAGGTGGCCTGTTTGCTAGTACTCAGAATAAAGGATTTGGATTCTCGTCTGGCTTGAGCACTGGCGCGGCCACTGGCACTGGTTTTGGCACTGCACTCGGAACAGGACTAAACTTCGGAGGGTTTAATGTTCAACCACAACAACAACAGGGTGAGTCAGCTGGATTGTGAGCCATGCTGGGATTACCGCCTGCTGTTTGCTCACTTCAGGCTGCCTTGCGCTTATCCTAAAGCTCTGTCGTTATTCTTGGGTCAGTGATTTTGTACGGTCTTGGAATATTTTTCTGGAAATTTTATATCCCAGCCTTGCACTTTGCACATCCGTCATTGGCTCCAGACCCCCCGTGACCCTGAATAAGACTAGTGGTTACAGAAAATAGATGGATGAATGGGATAGTTTCTATACGAAACCCACATTTTTATGTATAGAAGTTCTGTAATTAAAAATACCAACATGTAGATATAATAAAGTGAGGAAGTGATTATGGTTAAGCAAGAAAAGGCTTTCTAAATTTCTTTAGGAGGCTTGTTTGGGCAGCCTGGACAAGCGCCATCGCAATCCAACCAGCTGATCAACACAGCCAGCGCTCTCTCTGCACCCACTCTTCTTGGCGATGAGCGTGACGCCATCTTGGCCAAGTGGAATCAGCTTCAGGCTTTCTGGGGTACCGGCAAGGGTTACTTCAACAACAATATCGCCCCTGTTGATTTCACCCAGGAGAACCCATTTTGCAGATTCAAGGTAGGACCCTCTGACACTGAGGATGACCTCTGACATAATATATGGGAATGATCATGAGATGGTGGAGTATTGATTTCATTTTCTTCTGCATGCGGAGGGACCCACTTAATTTTCTTAATTTTGACTGGAACCTACACACCATATGAACAAAAGTATTGGGACACCTGGCCATTACACCCACAGGAACTTTTATGACATCATTCTAAATCCATAGGCATCAATATGGAGCTGGTCTCCCCTTTGCAGCTGTAACAGCTGCCACTCTTCTGGGAAGGCTTTCCACAAGTTTATAATGTGTTTGTGGTGCAATTACATGCCTGTTAATCCAGAAGGGCATTTGTGAGGTCAGGCACTGATGATGGACATGAAGGCCTGGCTTGCAATCTCTCTTCTAGTTCATCCCAAAGGTGTTTGATGGGGTTGAGGTCAGGGCTCTGTGCAGGCCAGTGAAGTTCTTCCACACCAAACTCACCCAACCATGTCTTTATGGACTTTGCTTTGTGCACTGGGGCACAGTCATACTGGAACAGAAACTGATCCCACAAAGTTTGGAATTGTCCAAAATGTCTTGGTATGCATAGGGGGGACCAACTCCTTACTGATGCCTCGGGATTTAGAATGGGATGTCATAAAAGTCTCTATGGGTGTAATGGCCTGGTGTTCCTATTCTTTTGTTCATGGAGTGTATGTAGCATGTTTAGGGCTAAGCAATCCATTTGATGTACATTTTGTGTGGCCGTAGGCAGTGGGTTACAGTTGCATCCCAGGTAGTAAGGACGAGGACGGCTTGGTGGTCTTAGCTCTGAACAAGAAGGAGGAGGATGTCCGGAGTCAGCAGCAGCAACTGGTGGAGTCTCTGCACAAGGTCCTCGGAGGGAACCAGACTCTGACCGTAAACATCGAGGGCGTTAAAGCCCTGCCTGATGACCAGTGAGTACAGCCGTGTCACCTTTCGAGACTCCTTATCGCTGCCTTAAAATATCTCTGACACGCAATAGTTTTCTGTGGGAATGACTGGTGGTTAATGTCTTCTTAACAGGACGGAGGTAATCATATATGTAGTCGAACGCTCCCCAAATGGTACGTCCAAGAGGATAGCGGCCTCCTCGCTCTTTGGCTTCGTGGAGCAGGTCAATGTGAAAACGCAGCTCCAGCAACTGGGTGTGGTCATGTCTGTCACCCGCAATGAGCTCTCGCCTGCGCAGCTGAAGCAGCTCCTGCAGAATCCACCTGCTGGTTAGTCATTACCAGTGTCTTTGCTGGTCTCCGCTTTGCCCTGCGTGCTGAATCTTGTCAGTCTTCAAAATCAATAACGGTAATATTTTTCCGGCCTGTCAGGTGTGGACCCTATCATCTGGGAGCAGGCCAAAGTTGATAACCCCGATCCAGATAGGTCTGCATTTGAATTTAAAATGACCATTTTGGTAACATACTTGGTTCCACATGCTTCCATCGTAATCTGACAGTATTATAATGATTGACAGGTTGATTCCAGTACCTATGGTTGGCTTCAAAGAGCTGCTCCGCAGACTCAAGATCCAAGACCAAATGACAAAACAGCACCAGACTCGAGTTGATGTGAGAAATTACCGTTTTGTATTTAGTAAATTCATTAAAGTAGTGATAGGAGAAACAAGGCTACATAATGGCTGGAATTATGATGTAGTTAAAATCCAGTTGCTTCTGATTCATTTATTGGCTTCAGGTTATTCAAACCAGATCATCAACATTGCATCAGTCCACCACTGGATTTTGAGGCCTCATGTATCTTGACAATGTATCTTGAACATTTCAGTCAATTTCCTTTCTGTTACTGTAGCACATATCATTTTTAAATGTAAGTTTTAGATTAATTGTGCTTCTTTTTTTGTGCAAAATCTGATTTTGTTGTACTTGCTAAAGATTTTTTAGTATTTGAAATGAAGTGAAGGTTCTTGCGCCTTTATTTAATCTTTGGTTTATTCTTTTATTCAACAGATAATCTCTAATGACATAAGCGAACTACAGAAGAACCAGGCAACTACAGTGGCCAAAATTGCTCAGTACAAAAGGAAGTTGATGGCCTTGTCCCACAGAGTGCTTCAGGTATAAACACATCCACCTTTATGAAAGCAGAACGTTCCTATGAAACCTTTCTTAAGCCGAAATGGTGTAAAGCGAAGAAACAGTCATCATTAATTTATCTGGGGAAAATTTTTGAGTGTTCCGATTCCGTGCCATCCTGCGTCACCGAGTGTCTTTCCTGACATTCGCTGCCTGATCTGTGTCCTTTCAGGTGTTAATCAAGCAGGAGATTCAGAGGAAGAGCGGCTACGCTATCCAGGTGGACGAGGAGCATCTCCGCGTGCAGCTGGACACCATCCAGTCTGAGCTCAACGCTCCCACCCAGTTCAAGGTTTAACTTTAACATTTTATCTCCACTTTTACCTGTCTTTAGTTAAAGGGATTTTGGACATTTTACTAATAGACGCCCTGGCTGGCTGGTGTTTATTTTTGATCAGTTTTACATAACTGCTTATCCAGCACAGGCTGACAGAGGGTGTTGAGTTTATCCGCGGAAGCTCAGGGCAGGAGGACACCCTGGACGGGATGCTACCTCGGGGACCAGGGTCTGAGTCTCTGCCATGGCTCCATGTGTGTGGAGTTTGCATGTTCTCCCTGTATCATTGTGGGGTTTCCTCCAGATACTCTGGATCCCCCCACAGTCCAGAACCATACCGAGGTTAATTGGAGTTACCAAATTGTGTGTGTGTGTGTGTGTGTGTGTTTGTTTGTTTGTTTGTTTGCTTGTGAGACCTGCCATCGGTTGGTGCCCCATCCTGGCTTGTTCCTTGTCTTGCACTCATAGCCGCCTGGACAGCCTCCAACCCCCCCCCCCCCCCCCCC